TCTGATGAAGGGTCTAGGCCTGAAACGTCAGCCTTTCTGCTCCTATGATGCTGCTTGGCCTGCTGTGTTCATACAGCCCTGCACCTTGTTGCCCTGAGAAATAAACTCTATTTTGTTGAGTGTGCGATACAGAGTCTGACTAGCAATCCTAAATTGCTTGTTGGTGAAATTCTTCAGAATTCTTTAGCAGAAATTGTCCAATAATGGAATCATATCTAATATTGAACGATGTGTGTTGAGTTTGTAAGCACAGACTGGTTGAGTACAGTCAGTATCTTGATTGTTGCGACAAAGCTTTGACAAAATGCATCCGACTTCTTCAATTATCAATTTTTATATTGAAAACAGGTTAATTTTCACTCAATCTATGCAATTGTGTGTTATGAAACCAAGGTGATTCATTTCAAATATAAACAAAAATTGCTGAACAAACTCATCAGGTCTGCCAGCATTTGTGGAGACAAAAACAGAGACAACATTTAGAGTCTAAAAACTCTTTGTTAGCTGTTGCTCTCTCCTCAGATGCAGCCAGACCTACTGAATTTCCCCAACATTGTCCTTAATACAGATTTACAGCATCCACAGTATTTAGTTTAAGTGATTCATCCGCAGTTAGGCTGTGATTACATTCTCATCAAATGGCAGAGGAGCAACAGGCTTGAGGGGCTAAATGACATTCCCCTATTCCTCTGTATCATGCCAGTTTAATGAATATCAAAAAAAATCACAATTAATGTGTATTTCCCAGATAAGTGCAGAATGATGATGAAGAATGCTAACCTCAACAAGTGAAAAGTAGGTTATGAGTTAAGTCATATGGCAAGCATGCCTTTTAATTGAGACCAACTAGTTGATTAATACAGTGGTCCAATCTAAACTCTTTCGGTATGTAACCCTTATGGCACACGCATGACAACTTCACACGTCAAGTTCAGCTGATCTTATTTTTACTTCTAAAATAACATACAAGGCAAAAAATGACTTGAAAGTCAGAATTAATGATAGAAAGCTGAAGTTAAAGCATGACAGGTACTAAGAATTTAAACCCATAACTGATTATATTGTTCAATCTTTGCTGATTTTGTACAAACTGAACAAAATTTAGAATATTTTTACTGAATATAAAGATGATACAACTTCAGTCAGGTCTAGCAAACCTGGCTGCCCCAGGCAGCCCACGGCGTCTACCTGTTCCTGCCCCACTGAACTGTCTCTGCTTGCCATGACTCTGCTTCTTCCCCCCCACAGGTCCAGGAACTCCACACCTACGAGGTTGTTGACTTGTTCGCTCAGCTGGCTTGCTTTTCTTCAGAGGTTTCGTTACCATGCTGGTGACATCATCAGTGGAGCCTCCGATGAAGCGATGTTATTCGAATCCACTTGGAATTTTGTTCATTCCAAATTCCAAGCGGAGTCAAATAACATTGCTTCATCGGAGGCTCCACTGATGATGTCACCAAGGATGGTGACGAAACATCTGAAGAAAAACAAGCCAGCTCAACGAGCAAGTCAACAACCTCATCCACAACCCAAGCTACAGATCTTTGCCAAAACTTTAAATTCCCTACCTACATCCGGGACACCACCCACACCCTCCACCTCCTCCAAGAATTCCAGTTCCCTGGCCCATAAAACCTCATCTTCACAATGGACGTCCAATCCCTGTATACTCGTATCCCCCATGCTGTTGGCTCAAAAGCCCTCCACGTTTTCCTCTCCTGCTGTTGGCCTAAAAGCCCTCCGCTTCTTCCTCTTCTGCAGGCCCAACCAGTCCCCCTCCACCGACACCCTCATCTGCTGAACTGAACTCGTCCTTCCCCTAACAACTTCTCCTTTAACTCCTCCCACTTCCTACAGACTGAGGGGGTGGCCATGGGCACCCGCATGCACCCAAGCTATACCTGCTCTTCGTAGGATATGTGGAACAGTCCCTTTTCCGCTGTTAAAGAGGCAATATCGCCCACCTCTTCCTCCGCTACATTGATGACTGTATCAGCATTGCCGCGTGCTCCCATGAGGAGTTTGAACAGTTCACCAACTTTACTAACACCCTTCACCCCAACCTCAAATTCATTTGGATCATCTCCGATACCTCCCTCGCCTTCATGGACTTCTCCATCTCCAACTCTGGTGACCGCCTCAAAACTGACATCTATTTCAAGCCCACCAACTCCCACAGCTACCTGGACTACACCTCCTTTCACCCACCCTCCTGCAAGAATGCGATCCCCTACTCCCAATTCCTCCACCGCATCTACTCCGAAGATGAGGCATTCCACTCCCAAACATTCCAGAGGTTCTTCTATTTCAAGGATCGTAACATTTCCCTCCGATGATCAAAAATACCCTCAACTGCATCCCTTGCGGTTCCCACAATTCTGCCCTCTCATTCCCCGCAACAAAAATAAAGACAGAATCCCCCTTGTCCTCACATACCATCCCACCAACCTCCGCATCCAACGTATCATTCTCCACCACTTCCACCACCTACAATCCGACCCCACAACCAAAGAGATATTTCCCTCCCCACCACTATCTGCCTTTCATAGAGACTGCTCTCTCCGCAACTCCCTCGTCCGCTCCACACTCCCCACTAACCCCACCAGCCGTTCGTCCTTTCCTTGCATCTGCCAAAAGTGCTACACCTGCCCTTACACCTTCCCCCTCACCTCCTGCCAAGGCACAAAACAAACCTTCCATATGAGACAGGGGTTCACGTGCACACCTGTCAACTTGATCTACTGTATCCGCTGCTCCCGACGCGGCCTCCTCTACATCGGTGAGACCAAGCGTAGACTTGGAGACCGTTTCGTGAAGCATCTGCGCTCTGTACACAACAAATGACAACACCTTCTGGTCGCCAACCATTTTAACACCCCCTCCCACTCCCTGGGTGACATGTCTATCCTGGGCCTCCTCCACTGTCACACCTGCAAACCGGAGGAGCAACACTTCATACTCCGGCTTGGGAGCCTATAGCCTGATGGCCTAAACATGGATTCATCAGTTTTGAAATCTCCCCACCCCCGGCCTCATCCCATGTCCAACGCTCCCTCTCATCCCTGCCTCCTTGACCTGACACTACCTGTCCATCTTCTCTTCCACCTATCCGCCCCACCCATCCCACTGACCAATTCCCACCACTCCCTACCAGCATTCACCTATCACAATCCCACCTACCTTCCCTAACCCCACCCCTCCTTTCTCTATTTATTTCCCAGCTCCCTTCCCCCTCCTCATTTCTGAAGAAGGATCCCGACCTGAAACGTCAACTTTCCTGCTCCTCTGATGTTGCCTGGCCTGCTGTATTCCTCCAGCTCCATACTGTGTTGTCTCTGACTACAGCATCTGCAGTTCTTGCTATCTTTCAGTCAGGTCTATTAAGCTTTTAGTCGTCAATTAGAGATTGTTTCTCTTGAAAAGAAATCAGAGATTGCCATCAAATACTGCAAAATACACACTCAAGTTTAACTCAGCGACATAGTGCCTGCTTCCTATTCATGACTGAGGAGAAAACACAATGGTACACCACATATTTATGTTCCACTGCTTACTTTATCCACTGAGTTGTTCTACTTTTCTTTCAGTGATTGCTACTTGTCATGCACTATGCTTAGGTAGTAGAAAAAATATAGGATTCCCTCGCAAACAATGGCAAAGTGCTAACCTTCACTGCAGGGTACAGGGGATGGAGTCATAAATCCTGGAACTCCTTACAAACTGGAATTTCTTTCCCCTGAGCATTACTACTCAACAACCATCAAGCGCTTCATTCAAGGTTACTGATCCACAATCTATAAATTGAACGCAATAAGAAGCTGCTTATGTAGGAATCCACTATCTGGCCAAAACAACCATGGAATATTCAATTTATAGGACACACATTGCCAAATTTGTGGTGAGCTATGGTTAACATTGATTCGCTTTTACGCAGACTTGGCAGTTGTAACATGTACAAATGCAAGTAATATTAGAACAGATCATTTCCAACATACAAAACACTTACCTCATCATAAAGACTGCCACTGACATCTGCTCCATAGATTGGTGCTACAAAGGTCAAATTTTTCCAGTATTTACGTTCAAGATCTTCATAATCTAAGTGTCGAGGAGTACAGTATCTGTTTCAAAATAAAGGAAATTAATTCACAATTAAAGCAAAGCCCAAAATTTGCTAAAGCTATGAAAGTACAGAATGCATAGTTCAATATTTCCACACAGTGCCTGAATACGGACATCAATCCAGGCGGTGGACACAAAAAGCTGAGTGAGTCAAATAAAAGTTTAGTCGCATTTCTTTTTATCCTCCTCTTCCCTCCAAAGTTGGAGGAATAATGGAAATCTATTTGCTTTTCAGGAATAGCCTCAAAACTGCAAAAGCATCAAGCGATTAAGCAACAATTACACTTGTATCAGAGTTGAAACTCTGCAACCATCTTACCTTGGGAGATTGACTCCTGATCAATTTCTTTTCAGGCATGCAAATATGAGCACTTTTGTAATGGCCAACTATTAGAAGCAACCCAATTAATATTAATCGAAAAGGAAAGAAAATCATTGGGCACTGCTATCGGTTGCATCATGCAAGAAATGGAAATCACCAAAGATTGATTTATATAACAGTTGCGTAGGTCTCACGCCTACAGATACCTGCTCTTTGTCCAAAGTGGAGTAAAAGATTATTTTGTCAGACAGCAGGTTATCCTAGTGTCATAGCCATTTTGAAATAAAAAGGCTTCATCAAGAGCCCCCAGAATTGCACTCAGAACCTTCTGATGATGGGGGTCAGTTCAGATACAATATCATGGATCTTCATCACCAGAAAGGGTACTGAAGTCAGGTGGTGTGGATCAATCAGTGGGTGCAAGTCTAGATCAAAATTTTTTTAAGAACCCCTACAGTGTGCAAACAGGCCATTTGACCCAACAGGTCACAAATGTCTTAAGAGAATCCCACCCAGACTCATTCCCCTACCCTATCCCTGCATTTCCCATGGCCATTTCACCTAACACGCACATTTTTGAATGGTGAGAGGAAACTGGAGCAGCCGGAGGAAACACACACAGACGCAGGGAGAATGTGTAAACTCCATACACACAGTCACCCGAGGGTGGAATTGAGCCTGGGTCCCTGGTGTTGTGAGGCAGCAGCGCTAACCACTGAGCCACCTACTTTTATTATGGGATATGACCTGGTACCAATCTAACACAATAGACGTGACTTAAGTGAAAGTCGATCAACATCATCGCAATTACACAAAAACCTTCCCCAGACTTAAAGATTTCATGATATGCTTCAACTTTCTACACATGACAAAAAGAGGACAACTGAACTTGGCTAACGTTGAGAGAGAATGGGCCAGCCCAATAGCATCAGCAAAATAATGAATGGGAGGAATAGTCCAAGAACAACAGAGTTATACAGCAATGCAAGGCCATAAACTATCAGATCTCGGAATAGGTGAAAGTCCATCTTGAAAGAATTTCTGAAACTAGATCTGTTCCAGCATGCCTGGAGGAAGATACATTGTAAAACACAAGAAGCATAAAGTCATAGAACTGTACAGCATGGAAACAGATCGTTCAGCCCAACTCGTCGATGCCAACCAGATATCCTAAATTAATCTAGTCCATTTGGCCCGTATCCTTCTAAACCCTTCCTATTCATGTACCCATCCAGATGTCATTTAAATGTTGTAATTGTACCAGCCTCCACCATTTCCTTTGGCAGCTCATTCCAAACAAGTACTACCCTCGGCATGAAAAAGTTGCTCCTTAGGTCCTTCCTCAATCTTTCCCCTTTCACTTTAAACCTGTGTCCTCTACTTTTAGACTTCCCTACCCCAAAGAAAAGATCTTGTCTATTAACCCTATCCATGCCTCTCACGATTTTATAAACATCTGTAAGATCACCCCTCAGCCTCCGACGCTCCACGGAAAATAGCCGCAGCCTATTCAGCCTCTCCCTATAGCACAAACCCTCCAACCCTGGCAATATCCTTGTAAATCTTTTCTGAACCCTTTCTAGTTTCACACCATCCTTACTATAGCAGGGAGACCATAACTGCACGTAGTATTCCAAAAGTGGCCTCACCAACGTCCTATATAGCCACATGTCCTCCCAACACCTATACTCACTGCACTAGCCAATAAAGGCAAGCACACCATATGCCTTCTTCACTATCCTATCTACCTGCAACTCCACTTTCAAGGAACTATGAACCTGCACTCCAACTGCACTTTGTTCAGCAACACTGCCCAGGATCTTAGCATTAAATTTATAAGATCTGCCTTTCCAAAATGCAGCACCTCTCATTTATCAAAATTAAACTCCATCAGCCCATTGGCCCATCTGATCAAGATCCCATTGTACTCTCAGGTAACCTTTTCCACTGTCCACTACACCTCCAATTTTAGTGTCATCTGCAAATTTACTAGCCATACCTCCTTTGTTCACATTCAAATCATTTATATAAATAACAAAAAGCTGTGGACCAAGCAACGATCCTTGAGGCATGCCGCTGGTCATAGGCCTCCAGTCTGAAAAACAACCATCCACCACCACCCTGTCTTTTACTTTTGAGCCAGTTCTGTGTCCAAACGGCTAGTTCTCCTTGTATTCCATGTGATTTAAACTTACTAACCAGTCTTCCATGAGGAACCTTGTCGAACGCCTTACTGAAGTCCATTTAGATCACGTCCCCCACTCTACCCTCATCAATGCTCTTTGCTACGTCCTCAAAAAACTCATTCAAGTTAATGAGATACAATTTCCCAAGCACAAAGCCATTTTGACTATCCCTAGTCAGTCCTTGCCTTTCCAAATACATGTAGACCACCATATCAATAAGAATATTTGCAGATCAGCACAGTTTATTTTATAAACCTCCTCAGATTTTTTCGCAGACACTGAGTAAAACAAGTGAAGAGTCAATCTATTGCAATTGATAGTTCTTGAGACAATCGTTGTCTAGTCGCAGAGGTGTGGTTCAAGATTAATTTTCTTTGTTTGAGAAGCTAGATTTTCTAGAGAAATAGCTTCTCAGCAAACGTTTCAACCTTGTCTTTCACACCCTAGGGTGGAATGTCGCACGGTATATTCCTAACCACTTGATGCCTCAAAGTTTCATGCCTCAATACAGGTTGAAATTTACCTATAAAACAAATGACTTGACTACAAGAGAAAGCCGTGCTACACTAGGACATTTTCCAACCAATACTTGTTATCTTCCCAACAAGCTTGAGCAAGCATGAATATTTAATTTTTGCTTTGTTATTGGTCTACGATAAAGTTTTTAAGATCAAAGATGTTATGCACATGGAAAATTGAGGCAACACTGTATTGTTAAGTAGAAGTACTTCTACTAATCCATGAATAAACCAAAGAATTTTTGAGATTCTGTCAACTTCATAATCATTAATAAATGGTTACCTTATTTAAAATACATGGCTCATGCTTAAAAGTTCTGCAAGAAAATAGTGCTTGGAGTCAAAAATATAACTAAACCATGTGGAAATTTCAACAAAGGAAATTCTCTAAACTGAAATGCAAAATCACCTTGCACTTTTTGGCTCGTACAGAATGAAATTACAAACAGAACCTCTATCGAATGACCTCTCTTTCTTTTACCTTATAATTTTAAAACATAATAGAAGTGGGCCATCTGGCCTTTCAACCCAGAACTAACATTCAATAGGTCATCATGGCTCATCTTCTATATTTACACCACTTCCCCATATTAATTCAATATCTCTCAATTCCCTTAGTATCTAAAAGTTTATCGAATTTTGTTGTGAATATAGTCAAATGAGCATCCATAACTGACCTGGTACAATTTCAAAATTTATGGAAAACGAAACTTTCAAGCATTGTGAACAGTGAGTTGGACAGTGCTTAACTTCAAAAGAACATAGACTGGTTGGTGAAATGTGAAGTAGTAAAAGAAATTTTATACAGTAAAGTGTTGTCAGACAAAATAAAGGGTACAATCGTAAAGTAGGTCCAAGATCAATGAAACTTGGGTGTGTATGTGCACAAATTACAGGTGGCACAGCAGGTTGGGAGCACAGTTAATAAGGCACAGAATCAGAGAATACAAACACAGACTCTCTACAGTGTCGAAGCAGGCCATTCAGCTCATCAAGTCCACACTGAACCTCCAAAGAGCATCCCACCCAGACCTACACCCCGACCCTGTGAACCCTCCATTTTCCATGACTAGCCCACCAGCCCACACATCCCTGGATATTATGGGCAATTTTGCATGGCCAATCCACCTAATCTGCACACCTTTGGACTGTGGGAAGAAACCTGAGCACCTGCAGTTCATGGACTTTAAAAATAGAGGAGTATGATATAAAAGCAAGGAGGTTATGGTAAACCCAAATCAAACACTGATTCAACCTCAACTGGATTCCTGCATCCAGTTCTGGACGCATGCTTTAACAAGGATATAATGATGGCGCAGAATAGATTTGCAAGGATTATTCCAGGATGAGGAACTTCAGTTACAAAGATAAATTGGAGAAGTTAAGGCTGTTCTGCTTGACGAAAACAAAGTTGAGAGAATATATAAGAGAGATTCAAGATCCGTAGGGCTCTGGACAGAGTGGATAGAGAGAAACTGCACCCTTTATGGTGGTTGACAACAGCAGCAAAAATAAAATGAGATTTTGCATTAAATAAGCAAGTTGTTAGAATCGGCAGTATACTAAGAATGATTCCAGAAATTAAGGGTTTGTCACATAAGGAGCAGTTGAGTACTATGGGTCTGCACTCAGTGGAGTTTAGAAGGATGAGGGAGGATCTCATTGAAACTTACAGAACACTGAGAGGCCAGGAGAGACTGGACATTGGAGGAGATGTTTCCACTAGTAGCAGAGACTAGAATTTGAGGGCACAGCCTCAGAATGAAGGGATGATCCTTAAGAGCTGAAATTAAGATGAATTTCCTCACTCAGAAGGGGTAAATCTGTGGAACTCATTGCTGCAGAGGTAAAGCTATTGGGTGGATTTAAGACATAGATAGATAGGCTCTTAACTAGTAAGCGGATCAAGGGTTATGTGGAGGAGGCAGGACAATGAGGTTGAGAAACATATCAGCCATGATTGAATTGTAGAGCAAACATTACGGGCTGAATGCCCCAATTCTGCTCGTATATCTTATGGTCTTTACCACTACCTTAATAATATATTCCAGCATTATGCCTACTACTGCTGGCAAACTGGCCTTTAGTGCCATGCTTTCTTTCTTCTTCGTATCTTAAAATAGCAGAATTATATTTACTACCTTCCAATGCTTCAGAAGATGTGTTGGAATAAACAGAATACTAGAAAAATCAACATCAATGCATCCACTATCTCTTCAGTTATCTTTTATAAAACCCTGAAAATGCAGGTCATCAATTCCAGAGAAATTCACACCACACTGTCCCAAGTAAGAAATATTCCTGGAGAATTACTTATGCTCATTTAAATTCCTCATTGGTTCCTCATTATCTCCAGATTTTTTTAGTCATTTACCATGAAGGTGGACACAAATTGGCTCACATTAACTTTCATTAATATATTCCCATTTACACACCGATAGGAACAATCATAATTTGTTTCGTGTAACTTGCAAGTCTATTATATTCTCTTTTCTCATTCTTCATCAATTTCATGGCCTTTCTTTGCAGAGTTCTAAAAAGCCCCCAATCCTCAAGCTGACTACATTTCACAGCAAAATTATAATCCTTTCTTTTGATTGATCGCTTGTTAGCAATATTTGGACTACTTTTTCCACGATGTTATGACACTCCGTGTAAGTGACAAAGAACAACGTGAAGGATCTTAACACACTGATAAACCTACTTGACTTGTCTGAAACTTTATTGGCAGCAGAAAAGGTGAAATAACACCACCTTCCATGAATTCAACCTGACCCTTGGTAACCTGGTGACATTTGACCTGGATTTTTGCCCAGCTTTGCATTACCAGATCAACAATTTCAAATTTCCATTACTTTCATAACTCATGAAAATATCGCAGAATGGATACGATTATTTATTTGCCACCCTGAATATTTTAAGCTACTGTACATTTAAATCCAATTGGCTGTTGCATTTTCCTCTTCCACTGAAAATGGCATTTCACAATTGCAGCATCTGACTTATAAAATAGTGCAATTTCCACATCTTGTTTTTACACCAGAGGCAATGCCATATTGGTAATTTCATTGATCTGCAATCTAGAGGTCAATGTCCTGATGACCAGTGTTGAATTCCCACCACTGCAGCTAATTAAATATGAATTCAATTATAACTCTGGAACTAAAGGCTTGTCTCAGTAACAAAATTGTCACGATTGCCTGGTTCACTAAGAATTTTAGGGAAAAAAAAAATCTGTCATCATGGCCTACATGCAAATTCAAACCCCAGCAACAAGGTTGATTCTTATGTGCTCTCTGAAAGGCCCAGCAAGCCACTCAGCTGTACCAAAACCACTACAGAAAAGCCAGGAAAGTAATGTAACCACCTAGAATGGATTAACTACCACTGCCCTGGGTACCAGAAAAAAAAACAATGGCCCAAATCACACACTATCCAGACTTGGAGCTATTCATTCAGCATTTCAGGGTCAAAATAACTCTATTCTTAACAGCATTGTGGGTGTCCCTGCACCTCCAATACTACAGCAGTTCAAGAAGGCAACACACAATCGCATCAGCCCACAACAATTCCTCAAGGGAAATTAGAGACGAGTAATAAATGCTAGCCCAGTTAGCGATGCTCACGTACCATGAAAGAATTTTTAAAACTTGTAGGAAAAGAAAGCTAGGAACCAGGAGCTGAATAACAGCTGTAAACAGGTGAATACAAGTGACTAAGTATCCAGTGACTTCACGCTTCATCATACTTATACTAATCAGATCATAAACTTGTTCATAAGAAAATTTCTTGTATGCCTAGCATCACTGACCACCCTCAAGGAAATGTGGACCTCTAAGATTCTCAACTGAGACAATGCATCTCAACCGGGAAACAAAAGGACAATAAACAGAAAAGCCTCAGCCAACTGCAAGAGAATGAAAAGTCAGCATCAACCAAAAGATAAAATGAAACTGAATTTCATTACTCAATAACAACATTTCAGCAAGCCAGATTGAGTAATAAAGTGAAATAATTCATGGTTAATTAAAAATAATCTAACATATAAATCAATGAATTGAATATATTTTCTTGCAAAATCATGCTGACCAAAGTGGAAAGTGCATCAGCTAAGCATAGACAGCTGTAGATTGTTCCTTTTGACCCCACTATATTGGTTTAAATGTAAAAATTAAAAAGGTTTTGTACTAATGAGTGAAACATCCTACTTAAAAACAACCTTTCAAACAGTTGTTTCAAATGCTTCACAGACTTATCTGTCAGCTGATGCACCACATCAGGGAAATATCAATTGTGTTGACATGTAGTTTTGAAGCAAAGAACACCAAGCAACTGCAGAATAGTTGAAATTGAACATTTTGAGGTAGTACATTAAAACGCAAACTTTAAGCAGAGTGCAGCCTAAATGAAACTTTTTTTAAACACATCTTTCACAGAGCATTTTCTCTGAATTTCCTTGATATTAAAGTCTCCACACATAAAATAAAGTATACTCCAAGTTGGACTTACTTATCACTATTGGCCAAGCATCTGAATTCCTTTACGGTCAATGGTTTTTTCTGTATGTTGTATTGGGTAAAGAGACCAGACTGCCCGGTGACCATTTGTTGAATTGGAGCAGGAATAACCAAGCTGTCAATGTTATCATAGTTTCTTCTAGGTTTCCAATCTTTTGGTGGAATCACCTAAGCAAAATAAAAATGAAACAGAAGAAAAGTAACCCTCTATACAATGATGCAATCAGAATTGCAATGTATTAACAATGTCTGAAAATAACAGGCACATTTTCAACCTCAATTACTAATTATACTTCACAGCAATTGAATCCACATTTGTCATATATTTATCAACAGTTAGAACAGCAAATTTTATTCCAATATTTTGCTAATTCTGAATAAGCAGAATTTGATTTTCTTTTAATCAGATGTATCACAATGCCTCTAGATAATGGTGACTCAGAAGGATGAAGTTAAGAAAAGAAAATCAAGGATGAGAAACATTTTAGAAACAATTCAAAGAATATTCATACATATTTCAGCATGGATATAAACTCAGATCATTTTCTTCATGCCGACCAAGTTTCCCAAACTAAACAAATCCATTTGCCTGCATTTGGCCCATATCCATCTAAACCTTTCCTATTCATGTACCTGTCCAAATGACTTTTGAATGTTGTAACTGTACCTGCATCTATGACTTCCTCCGGCAGTTCATTCCACATGCAAACCACCCTGTGTGAGAAAAAAATGCCCCTCAGGTCCCTTTTAAATCAATCATTCTCCTCTCACCTTGAAAATATGAATCATAGTTTTGAACTCACCTACCCTAGGGAAAAGAGCTTTGCTACTCACCTTATCTATGCCCCTCATGATTTTACAAACTTCTATCAGGTCAACTCTTAACCTGCTACGCTCCTGTGAAAAAAGTCTCAGCCTATCCAGCCTCTCCTTATAATTCAAACCCGCCAATTCCAGCAACACCCTGGTAAATATTTCTGAACGCTCTCAAATTTAATAATATCCTTCCTATAGCAGAGTGACCAGAACTGTACAAATTACTGCCCACATGGCCTCACCAACGTCCTCTATAACCTCAACATGACGTCCCAACTCCTATACTCAATGGTCTGAGCAATGAAGGTAGGCGTGGTAAACGCCTTCTTAACCATCCTGTCTACCTACAACACAATTTTCGAAGAACTATGCACCTGAACCCCTATGTCTCTCTGTTCAACAACATTACCCAGGGCGCCACCGTCAACAGTGTATGTCCTGCCTTTGTTCATCTTACCAACATGTAACACCTCACATTTATCCAAATTAAACTCCATCTGCCACTCCTCTGCCCATTGGCCCAACTTATCAAAATTCCTCTGTAATCTTAGATAACCTTCTTCACTGACCACTATACCAACAACTTCAGTACCATCGGCAAACTTTTTCGCCGTGCTTCCTAAATTCTCATCCAAATAATGTGTATAAGTGACAAACAACAGTGGACCCAGCACTGATCCGTCCAAAACACTGCAGGTCACAGGCCTTCAGTATAAAAAAAACCTTCCACCTCCACTCACTGTCTCCTCCCATCAAACCAATTTTGTATCCAAATGTCAAGCTCTCCCTGAATCCCATGTGATCTAACTTTACTAACCAGTCAACCATGCAGAGCCCTGTCAAAGGCTTTACTGAAGTCCACGTAGGCAACATCTACCATTTAAAATTTAAAAGGAATAAATGATGTATACAGGTAGGTGAAGGAGAAATGGTATGAAGAGATGTGTGAAGAAGTAATGGAGCTCAAATGAAATCACAAAATAACTGTTTTGCACCAAAATGTGAAATCTTCAGCAGATAGAAAGGGTTAACAACACATCATGGGTGTATAGAAGACAAAGATGGTAGAATATTGTTTGAAGGCATATATTCGCAAAAGTTAAACACACTATATTAGTGATTCGTATGATGATGTAATTTGAGTGAGTCTCTAAGATATAGAGGCAAATGAAGGACCAAACATTATCGTATTAGAGGTAAAGAATGCTTGGAATGTGATGAGTATAAGAAAAGCTCCAGGCGTAAATGAAGGAACAACAAAACATCTAAATTCCCTCGGACAAACAGAATTAGAAGTGATGACAGAAATTTGCAATCACGTACATGCGAAAAGATATATTCCAAATAACTCGAAGCATTCATGATTTATTAAGTTACTTAAGAAACCTAAAGCAATGGAATGCAATCATTTCAAACTGCTGATTTTCATGAATCATCGGGTTAAAGTGATTTGGAAAATTATAATAGGAAGAAGCACATTTGAAACAGAAATTGGTGAAACAGTCTGAATTTACAACTGGAATAGGAACTAGAGAGGGATTACTTAACCATAAATATCCAGAAGTAAACAAGAATGCTTCACAGGCTATGAAAAGATGTTCAATTGTATACATCATCTGAAGTTAATAGCCACGTCATAGAAATGGGACACCAGCAGTATTGACATGAGATTTATCAAGAGCCTATATTAGGACTCAATAGTCACTATCAGTCTAGAAGAGGGACAATAAAATATGTTTCAAGTGAAGACAGAAGTATCAGAAGGCTGAGTAACATCACTAAAATTATTTAATCTGTACACAGAACAAATATTCAGGGAATAAAGAAGTACTTTCAGGGTAAATACTGGAGATAAGAATACAAATTCACATACATGATCCACTGCTACAGGAAAATCAGAAGAAGACCCATGAAATATCTTAAATCAAGTAAAATCTACAAGTTTAAAATATGGAATGAGTATTAACACCAAAGAAACAAAAGCAATAGCAGAAGGAGCATATTAGAAGAAGCTACAGTGAAGATTAAAATTCATATTGTCACACCAGAACAATGTTTAGGTCAAATTATAACAGAAGATGGCAGATGTGATAGAAAAGTTAGAAAGAGGATGAAGATAGCCTGAAGTAATGTTGCGAAGATGAAGGATGTGCTTACCAATAAGAAAATACAAACTTGCAGCAAGGAGAAAAAGAGTCACAAGTTACAACCTCCTATCCATTTCTGTGTACCTCAGAAACCTGAGCAACAAACACAGATCTGTGGAAGAAGAGTCCTTTAACAAGTGGATACTAAGAGTACGTTAAAAATTCCATATACAGATCATAATCAAACAAAAAAGGTGCTTGAAATTACCGAAGCAAAAAGAACTCAAGCGACGTCCAGAAAAAAAAGCCAAGATTATGACCATTTGGTCAAATCTGAAAATCTAAAGATTTCTCCCACAGCACAAAGTGTAAGGTAGCAGAAAGAGGAGTCAACTTAGGCATAGGTGAATGACAGTTATTATAGAGCATTCATTTACAAGCCTCAGTGGAAGAGTTAAGATGGTGCAAGACAGACAAGCGCGGCAGGTCATAAAAGGGAATCTCCTGATAGCAGCAGCTACAAGAAGCAACGGAAGAGAGTGAAGAGTTTTGGGGAGTGGGCAGCAAGATGCAATGAAGCTGAAGAGCAACTATGACCATGAGTACATACTGAATGGAGCAGGTTCAAGTGGCCATATAGTCTACTGCTACTCTATTTTTTAAATTGGTAATTCATCGGCTTTCCTGAAAGAGGAATATTTTAGAAATGTTCTTCAAACTAATCAATACATAAATAGTTATTTTAATTATTCACCTGAAAAATTTCTGGTAAAGACAGTCATCAGCACTAAAGCTGCAATCAAGAGATAAGAGCAGGACAATGGTTCCACGTAACTCTATTAGGTACAACTCCATGATATACAACAAAAGTGATTGTGGTAGTGGAACTTGGTCCTTCTCCCATCACTACTACCACTTTTTGGATAAACACACCAGTTCTTCAAATTATAAAACAATGCACAGTTTTGATCAGTGATGGTAGTGTTTGGGAGAGAAGATTACATGAATGAAGCAACTACCATCGGTGATTAAAGATTGAAATAATAAAGTAACAAGGAAACTGAGTCAAATAAATTTATATAACAAATAAGAGGAACAGCGCATGAAATACTTTAATCAATTTTAATCAACTCTCATTCCAAAAGATTGCTCTCCAAAACAACTTCCTTTGACAATACAGCATTCAATATAATTTGGCATCATTATGGCCCAGGTGTAATTTTTGAAACTTGCCAAAAAGGCAAAGCAATAAAATGCTCCCAATGCTGAACTAAAAACAATTTGTATTTATTCCCTTAAAGTGGCAAGGCATCCCAAGATATTTCCCAACAGCATTAAAAAATTTGAGACCAACCCACATAAGGAAATACAAGCACTATTCAGTCAAAATAGTACATTTCAAAGGATCATGTTGAAAAGGATGAGGGGCAGAGGGGCTTGGGGAGCATTTTCAGACTTTCAGAATAGCTGTCAATAGTGGCATCACTAAAATTAAAATACGCAGGATGCCAGAATTGGAGGGCCACAGATTGTCTCAAAGGATGCCTATGAAATCCAATTTCAAAATGACCCACACCAATCTCTTAGTAGGGATTATTCATGCATTCAAAATCCAGGGTAATAGTCTGCAACACACATTCTCACACATAGACAACAGACACACACACAGACACATATCCATGAAAAACAAAGGAAACTTTCAAATTCCAAATCAGTTAGAATCAAAGATATTGACATTAGTCCACGTGTAATTAGAGGATCAAGTAAGTCAATGTCCTTTCAGTTGGCTGTGCACAGATGCTCTTTATGCAGGAGCTCTGATGGAGGTGAACTGTAGGTGAAGGTGTAGCAGTTGTAACCGGCAGAAACTGCAGTGCCCCCTCGTTATTGGGAAAGATGTGCTGTCGCCAACTGCTGGTAGAAGTGAATGGGTTTAGGAGTCATAGGGCCTTCTTTCTGGGAAAAAAAACACATTATTCTTTAACTTTGAAGTTCAAATTGGCTTACATCGTTGGGACTAGAACTGGACCCACCACATAAACACAGTGGCTATAAGAACAGCTCAGAGCGTCAGTGGTGAAGAGAGTGGATGTCATGCCAATCAAGTGTGCTGCTTTGCCTTCAATAGTGTTAAGCTTCTTGAATGTTGGTAAAGCCGCATGTATCTAGGTAGGTGGGGAGAATTCCATCACACTTGTGATTTGTGCCTTGTAGATGATGGCAGGTTTTGCGGGGTCAGGAGGTGAGTTACTTGCTGCAGTATTC